TTTTTTTTATTATAAACTTTCACTTTAAAGGACAAAAAAAAGTAGGTTAAAAATTATTACTTTTAACATATTAAAAATCAATAATAACTTGAAAACAATTAATTATAAAAAATATATAATATATAAGTAAAAAAGAATTACTAATCTGGATATAATTAAGGTAGTAGAAGTTGCTTTTGTAATTATCCACCAATTTTTTAGAATTAAACACTATCTACAGATTTGCATCGAAGCGTTTCTTATGATAGTGGTTTTAATAACTGTCAAATTAAATCTATACTGGACTCAACTATGTCACGTCTACACTGTACCACGACCTCACTGTGCTGGTTTTTTTTTATATTTATCTGTTTATTACCATCAGTCATACTCAATGACTGCCTGAAAAAATCATCTATTGTTTTTTTTATTATAAACTTTCACAAAAATCAACCATAAAGGATTAACAAAATAGGTTAAATATGTCATTTTTCATATTTTTAACATATTAATAATTAAAATCAGTATTAATTTAAAACAATTTTTTTTATGTCAATACTTATTTTTTAATAATAAGTAATTCTATCAAAACTTAGAAGTGATAGAAAAAGTCTAATTAGAGATTTAAAAAGAGCGCGAAAAGTTGAAAAAGAAAAGTATATTTTTGTTTATTATAATTTCTTTGCAGAATAATGGTAATTAGTATAAACCAATAGTACTTAGTATTAAGGGTGTAATAAATTAGTAGTAATATGTATTTAGGGAACAGAATAATAATAATTGGTAATAAAGGGAGATAAAATAGGAATAATTAGTAATTAAGGTTGTGAGATGCAGTAATTTAAGGGTAATAATTAGTAATTCAGGATGTGAAATATAGTAATTAATGGAAAGAAAAATAGTATCTAAGGGTAATTAATAATTAAGGGTGAATAATAAAGAAGAATTGGGGGTTATACTAAAAGTTAGGAGGAGTTAGCAATTAAGGGGAATACTAAAAGAGTAGTTAGGGGGAAATATGTAATTAAGGGGTATACTAAAGAGAGAGTTAGAGGGAGTGGTAATTAAGGGAGTACGATAAAAGAGTAGTTAGGGGGGAATGTGTAATTAAGGGGTATACTAAAGAGTAGTTAGGGGGAGTTTGTAATTAAGGGGGTATTTTTATTAATTTGTAGACTGTAATTTTTAATTAAAAAAATATATAGTGTTCTATAACTATATTTTTTTGTATCTGTGAACGCTCAATCTCAGCTCTCGCTGGACCGATTTTGATGAACATAACATCAAAAGATCACAAATCGCATTTAGTAAGACATTACCTTCAAAAATTGAAAATGTTTCTCTCGTACGCTGTAAACGGGTGAAATCCAAAAAATTACAAATGTAAAAATCGCTAATTTTTGACATTTTTAAATTTTTTTTTTACTTAAAACTGCATTAAATTTCTAAAAATGGCCGAATCTATATAAATTTTTTTATAGATGCATGATGTCTTTACCTTTCATTTAGTATATTTTTTTTTATAAATGTGACTTTTTAACTGCCTACAGGGATTCAAAATGAACTTTTTTACAAAAAATTTACTTTTTCAACTTAAATTTTGAAAATGTTCTGGAAAGTCTAACACTTTTATATATATCTTAAATTAAAGCTAATGTAATGTACTTTATTATGGAAAAAAAATTTCGGACTTTATTTTGTCTTTACGGTGAAAATGGCTACCAAATGCTATTATTGTGTGAAAATTCTTGATTTTATTTTTTATATTTTTAACTTTATAATGCTATAACTTATTGAAAAGCGTATGGATCAACATAATTTTTCTATGAGAAATATTATTTTTTAATAATCCCTTTTTCATTCGACATACTTTATCTTTATCAGGATATTAATAAGGAACAAGCAGATTATGTAGCTTTTGGAATAATCCACCAATTTTTTAAAATTAAACACTATCTAAAGATTTGCATCGAAGCGTTTTTTTTTTTTATAGTGATTTTAATCACTGTCAGTTATCATTATACTTGATCCAACTATGCCACGTCACCATTGTGCCGCGACCCCCCTGTGCTGGGTTTTTTATAATACTGTAATAATTAGTATACTTTATACGAAAAAAATTTGTTTTTAACCAACCAATGGTAAAATTTTGAACTTGTAAGATTCATAGAATGGGATACTGTCTAAGGAGGAGTGGAGGGAGCCCCCCACAAGCTTTTCATGGTAAACAAATTATGGAAAATGATACAAGGGCTCAAAATTGTTGAGAAAATTTTGATTTTTTTATCTTAATGGACCAGAGAGTTATCATAACCCACTCAATTACTTATAGAATAATAATAATTTAAAAATTTTTTTTTTTTATTATTTTTAGTTACACATTATTCTTGAATTTTTAACTATGTAATACTTTTTAAGTTCATCCCTTATGCCTTGGAGGGGGGTCAACTTTGTTTTTTTAAATGGTAACATATTTTTAATTTAATAAAATGTTTGAGTTTTTAATTTAATAGTAAATGGCGTTTGAATTTTTAATATAACTTTATTAGCTTATTAGATATAAACATTTAAAGTTTCAAAATTTTGAGTTAATATACAGAGTGTTCAGTAAGTCAGGAAACGGGTTTCTATTGTTCTCATTGTTACAAACACAAGGTTACTGAACACCCTGTATAGGTATAATACACAAGGGATTACAAATACAGGTAGCTAATTGATTTTTTATGACATTGATATTAGCAGGTACACAGCATTGTTATTATCAATGGTAGTAAGGTACATTGTTATGAGTTTATAAATACACTAACTGACAATACAGAAAGTATATCTATTGATAATCATAATTGATAATAAACAATCCGTGACTGAGACAGCAATGTCATAAAAATCCAATTAGCTACCTGTATTTACAATCCCATGTGTATTATACATGTATATTAACTCAAAATTTTGAAACTTTAAATGTTTATATCTAATAAGCTAATAAAGTTATATTAAAAATTCAAACGCCATTTACTATTAAATTAAAAACTCAAACATTTTATTAAATTAAAAATATGTGTTACCATTTAAAAAAACAAAGTTGACCCCCCTCCAAGGCATAAGGGATGAACTTAAAAAGTATTACATAGTTAAAAATTCAAGAATAATGTGTAACTAAAAAAAAAAAAAAAAAAAAATTTTTAAATTATTATTATTCTATAAGTAATTGAGTGGGTTATGATAAAAAAATTACCCTGTATGTCATTGGGTATAATGACTAAATAAATGATTGATTTATCATTGACCACTAGATTTCTTCTAAAATAATTATAATTTTGAGAATTTTTGTTTAATTTGTCCATTATCTCTTATAAGGAATTTAACTTATAATAACTAGCTTATTTATTAGATAATAATCTGAGAAAATAACTGTTCTATAACAACAGTATTTATTTAAAGTTATTAAAACTAATATGCAGATTGGTCGCGAGGAGCAGATTTTTATGTAATTATAAATTTTGTTATTCCGAACGCATCATTAACCAGTACAAACTTTTATTGAATGGCTTGAAAACATGGTAATGTGTTCCAACTGTGCTTAATATTAGGGATGATTAGGGGATTTTCCCTCTAAAAACGAAAAATATTTCTACACTACTATATAGTTCTTTAACAAATTTGCACAAAATTGGGTCCTTTTAAAATGGCTCAAACAAAATTAAAAAATGCATAATTATCTTCGCTATAGTTATTTTTACTATTATGTATTACTCTAACATACGTCTTTTTCCTCACAAGTATAAAAATATTCATATATTCAGAAATACTGGTTTAAGAGTAATGTTTGGTCCATCATATTCTAACAATTAGTTATGTATATTTTTATTAAAAAAAATAAAGTTAGTACATTCTTTAAGGGATAAGAGATGGACCTCAAATATTTAACTAATTATAAATTGATAAATAAACAATATTAAACCAAAAAAAAAAAATCTTTAATATTTAATTATTTTATAAGAAATATAGTTTCATCTGTATATTTTTTTTATTAATTTATTCTGAATTTAGAGTAAATAATTGTCACAAAACTGGAAAGGGACATAGCTCCCTTGCACTTAAAAATGTTATTATATTGTTCAGAAAAATTAAGAATCCAATATTACAATAGGATTAAAGTACTTATTTTAAATAAAAATTCCTTAAAGACTAATTAAAGAAAAAAAATAGAAAAAAAAAAATTAAACACAGTATTCAAATATAAGAAAATACTGTATAGATTTACTTAAGTATTTCCTAAGATTGCTAGTAATTAGTGTTTAATACTTAAAATATACAGTTAAGTGTACAAAGAATATAAGATTAAATAAAATAATACAAATTTTACGATTTTAAAATGCATTATTTATTTAATTTGAAATAATAACAATCAATCAAAACTTTGATATTTTAAAATATTTGTTTATTGTAAAAAGATAATTTTAATATAAATGCTAAAAATAAATTATAACAATAAGTCTACTGGAAAAAATGATAAAGTCAAGTATATAGTTAAGACTAAAGGCTTTAAATTGTTCAATCAAATTATTTTGTGTTTAGAAATAAATAGATTTATCGAGATCAAATAATGTAATAAAATAAAATTACTTATTGCTAAATATAAAAAGCTTAAGTTAAATTTCTTATAAAATATGATTAGATTATTTATAAGTAGCTAGAAGTAAAGAATCATAATTTATAATAAACTTAATTTTTAAAATGTTATTTCTAAACAAATAGTTAACAACAATACATTACACAAAGTAGTCATTTTAGGTAATCTCAATAAATTAATAGTTAAAAAAAAAAGTTAACATAAACTCCATATTATACTATCAATTTCTATAAGATGTTGTGTGTCCAATATTAAATAATATTCAATTATTTTTTCTTGGACATAGCATTTCGGTGACTACTAACACGACCACAAAATAAACCAACTATAAATACCATCCCCATAAATGTACACATAACAATGACCAGGTATTTTCTCGATGGGGATTTTGATACTTGACCATATAATTGTTGTAAGCTTTCAGGATATATCTAAAAGTTTAATTAAATAAAAATAAACAAGAAAGTTAATTTTTATAAATAATGTTCAGTAAGTAAGGAAACAGGTTTCAATTTCTCTCATTGTTTGTAACAATTGACCTGTTTCCTTACTTTTTGAACACCTGTATATACCTACTAATGCATCAGCATTTTTAAACATTTCTATACGCTGTTGAAGCATTTCTTGACACTTGATGTGTAGTTTTTTAGTTTTTGACTGTACTACTGCTTGAAGACATTGTAAATCTATAATAAAAACATATTTTTAGACAATTGTTTAATAGGGAAAATAAAGTGAAACTTACGTCTTCCTGCTCCCTGAGGAATATTTTCACAATATTTAGTTATATCTACAAGGCATGCTCGTTGTAATAAAGGATCTACATTTATATCAGCTCTAGATTCTTCTATTAATCCAGCTACTTCTAAGCGGCAGGCCCGGTTTTCTAGTAAACCATGACTTAAGGCTTGTTTTAAACATTCTTCAACTTGACCAGAATTCTCTATACTACCATTGATTTCATTTGTTTCTTCTTTATGACAAAGTTGTTTAATCTAAAAACAATAATATAGCAATCTATCATTTCAAAACAAAATAACACATGATCATGTAATTGGTAAGTTTTGCATAAATAAATTATCATAAAGGAATTAGTCTTTATTTAATATATAATACATGCTATATACATTATGAATGTATTACAAATAAAAAAAAAACCCAGCACAGTGGGGTGGTGGCACAGTGGGGTCGTGGCATAGTTGGGTCCAGTATAGATGATATCTGACAGTGATTAAAATCACTATCATCAAAAACGCTTCGATGCAAATCTGTAGATAGTGTTTAATTTATAAAAAAAAAATTTGTTAAAATAGCATATTTTTGAATACGGTAGCGTTTTGCGCATAGAAGATAGGTCGTCGGGACAAATTTTTTTTTTTTTATTTTATAGTACATGAAATAAGCTTTAATTTGATATATGTTTAAAGGACGCAGTATTTCCGGAACATTTTCAAAAGTTCAGTTGAAAAAGATCTATGTTTTTTACAATATTTTAAGTTTTGAACGCCCCCTATATAGGGGGAAATTGTCAAATTTTAATAAAAAGTATGTCAAATGAAATATGTACTTATAATTTATTTAGAAAAAGAAAAATTTGTGCTGATATATACATTTTTCAAAAAGTTATAGCATTTTTAAATTGAAAATTTAAAATCGAAAATATTAACACAAAAATAGTGTTTTTTTAACTACGGCAGCCGTTTAAATGTAGAAAAAAAAGTGTCGGGACAAATTTTTTTTTTTCATTTTATAGTACATAAAAAAAGCCTTAATTTGATATATGTTTGAAGGACGCAGTATTTCCGGAACATTTTCAAAAATTAAGTTGAAAAAGTTAATTTTTGTAAAAAAGTTGCTATTTTAAATCCCCCCCAATGAGCAGGTTAAGTGATAGATTTTCAAAAAAATGATATCAAATGAAAGGTAAATATCTAAGGTTTTAGTATAAAAAAAAATTATGTTGATTTGTTGATTTTTCAAAAAGTTATGGAAGTTTTAAGAAAAAAAAGTGAAAAAATTTCGAAAATTAGCGATTTTTAAATTTGTAATTTTTTTGGATATTTCCCCCATTTGCGGGGAACGAGGGAATTTTTTTGAATTTTTAAGGGTAATGTCTTCAATTGGATACGATTTGTGATCTTTTGACGTATTTTTGAAAGAAATCGGTCCAGTGAGAGCTGAGAAAAAGTGGCAACAGACAAAAAAAAAAAAAAAAATAGTAAAATTAATACCTTCTCTGCTTCGCATCGAAGCTAAAAGTATTAATAAACTAAAATTTTTATACAAAAGTTAATGAATACTGTGTTTATTTATAAATACTCAATCTAATAATTTTTTTAGCATACCATTCTCTCCAGCTAATTACCAATGTAACAATTTTATTCTCAGTTAAATACATATTGTTAATAAGAACTTATTACTTTTTTGTGAATTTTAAGTATTACATACGTTTACATTTTTTAGTTTTAAGATTAATTGTTTTGAATATTTTAGAATTTAGTTAAAGCACATACACTATTTGAAATTAATGGGCTAAATCAATATTGATTATTCAAATTTTTTTTTTAAGACGAGAAAATATGTATTAAAAATTAATTTACATAAAGTTACTTATATTGTAGTGAGTATAAGTAAAATAAATAAGATGTAGTAATTGACAAGTAATACTTTAATTGGGTTAATTGAAGTTTTTTTAATAATGTTAGGTGAAATACCATTAATCTATTCTTTTGAAATTTTTAAAAGATACACCTAAAACTTACTTTAAATAAAAAAATATTTAAAATATTTAAAAATACTTATAAGAAATTTTTTTATTAAGGAGATATACAAAAAAAAAAAAAAANTACTTATAAGAAATATTTTTATTAAGGAGATATAAAAAAAAAAAAAAAAACCCAGCACAGGGATTCGTAGCACAGTGGTGACGTGGCATAGTTGGATCAAGTATAATGATATCTGACAGATTAAAATCACTATCAATAAAAACGCTTCGATGCAAATCTTTAGATAGTGTTTAATTTTAAAAAATTGGTGGATTATTCCAAAAGCTACATGATCTGCTATTTCCTTATTAATATCCTTAATGAAAAAGGGATTATTAAAAAATATTATTTCTCATAAAAAAATTATGTTGATCCATACGCTTTTCAATAAGTTATAGCATTATAAAGTTAAAAATGTAAAAAATAAAATCGAGAATTTTCATACAAAAATTACATTTGGTAGCTATTTTCACTATGAAAATAAAATAAAGTCCGAAATTTTTTTTTTCCATAATAAAGTACATTACATTAGCTTTAATTTAATATATATATAAAAGTGTCAGACCTTCGGGAACAATTTCAAAAGTTAAGTTGAAAAAGTTAGNTATATATAAAAGTGTCAGACCTTCGGGAACACTTTCAAAAGTTAAGTTGAAAAAGTTAGTTTTTTGTGAAAAAGTAGTCATTTTAAATCCCTACTTGTGGGCAGGTAAAGGGTTAAATTTATAAAAAAAAATATACAAAATGTTAAGTAAAGACATCAATCATCTATATAAAAAAAAAAATTATATTGATTTGGTTATTTTTAAAAAAGTTATGGCAATTTTAAGTAAAAAATTTGAAAAAATTAGCAATTTTTAAATTTGTAATTTTTTGGGAGGTTTCCCCTATTTACGGGGAACGAAGGAAATTTTTTCAATTTTTGAGGGTAATGTCTTCGACTAGATACAATTTGTGATCTTTTGACGTAAAGAAATCCGTTTGGTGAGAGCTAAGAAAAAGTGGTAACAGACACAAAAAAGAAAAAACATATCATAGTAAAACCAATACCTTCTCAGCTGCGCATCGAAGCTAAAAAAAGGAATTGTGATTTCAAATAATTATTTAAGCGGTAAAATTAATCATATTTTAGGTAAGTATATTAAAATAACATTTACCTCATTTGTACATAAACTCTTCAATAAAGGATTTAGTTTATAATTCAAAGCTGATTCTCTTAGAATAATTGAAACTTGTTTTTCACATTCTGGTTTCAATTTCCTCTGTCGAAATTTTTCCTAAAAATATAAATATTTATCAACTTTATTATAAACAATGAATAGTGATTCATATTGTACTTTTTCAGTGTTATGCTCTTACTTTTAAGCAATGTATAACTTTTCCATTGTACTCTGATTCTGGTCTTTGTTTGATTAAAATATGACTGCAGTATGAGGTAATATCTGTTTGGCAGTTATGATGAAGTGCAGGATCTAATCGATAGTCATCACTTTGTTCAATCATTCGTTGTACCACAAGTGCTTGACATGACTTTTCAAATGCTATATCATGTTTGAATTTCTAAAGTGATTAATAAAATGTATTATCTATTAATTCTAAAGGAAAAAAAAAATTCATTTAAATACCTTTAAACAACTTAATGCATTTGATGTATTTTCTCCTTTACAATAAAACTGCAACATTTTGTGACATTTTGTTAAAAGCATGTAATCAGAAGAGCTATCTGTTAAATCTTGTCTTTGAATTAAAAATATTACACGATGACATTGCTCAGAAAGTAAACTCTTATTCATTTCTAGGCAGACTAATACCTGAATTAAAAAATTCAAATTGTTAAGACAAATTATACAACAGATATATTAATATTTTTTAAGTAAAGGATTTTTCATACTTGAGCTGAACCAGATTCCATCCCAGAGCAATATTTTGTGATATCATTTTGACATGCTGATTTTAAAGCAGGATCCAATTCAATGTATTCTCTTTGTTGTAATAATTGAGCTTTAAGTTGTTGACGGCACGGTTTTGTAATTTTATGTTTAGAATCAGTCACAGAATCATTTCTCACCACTTCACTTAGGCATGCAACTACCTGAAATTCAATTTTCAAAAATAATTACAAACTTAGTATTACTATCAAATTTCTCATTAAAAACTCCATAAAGTTATAACTTTACTTAATTTAAACAATTAAAATTATAATCTTAAATGCAATTTAAGAAGTTAATTACTTCAGTGTTGAAAGTTTTTAAAATTTCAAGTGTTAAGCGGATGAAGAGCACAGTAGAGTAATGCGTAATGATAAAAATAACATAACTCATATTTTGACTCCACTTTATATTTTAAAATAGTAATAATATTTTAATAAAATGAATCAAAAGTTGTTATTGACCTGTCATTTTCTTAATGATATGTAATAAATATAGTCATTTTTATTTTATAAACTATATATGTATATAATATATATAAAATATGTATGTAGCCATAAAAAAAAAAGAAGTTTACATCCTTTTAACGTATAAAGAATAAATTAAAAAAAAAACTTAATAATATTAATATACCAAGAAATATATATAATTTAAAACTACCAAAAAGATTTTTCANATAATATTAATATACCAAGAAATATATATAATTTAAAACTACCAAAAAGATTTTTCATAAAATAATCATTTTTGGAGAAATCAAGTGGCTAATATTAAAAGAATCAACCTGAAGGTAAGACAAAGTTTATCTTTGACACAGTACCGTATTTCCCTCAACCACACATCACGTTATCAACTTATAGTTATATAAGTACAATTATTATTAATTTTATAGAGTATACTTATATAAAATACCTTGGGTACTAGGTCCTAACTCTTAACATACCTTATTTTTATACATTTTCAGATACACTTTTGGTGACAACTTGTCAATCCCTAGCGGCTGTGTTATCTTTTGAACAAGTAAAATGTTGATATAATATGCAAATGCATAATTTTTGACGTCATTATTAAATACTACTAAATTTGTATCATACAATTTAATATTTAAATTTAGTTTTTAGTTTTAGTTATTATTGAGGTGGACGCAACGCCCATGCACTCAGACCCGTTGGTCCATTGTGCGCACCTCATACTGAATTGTCTTGATTCGGTTTACCCACCTAAGTGTTAATACATTACCAACCATAAAGTCACCTCTAAAGATGACCAAAGAGTCCTGTCTTTCTGGCGAAATTAAGTATCTCTCTGGGTTTTAGGTTTTTAATATCCTCTTTTTCAGGAAATGGTTTATTCAAGTAGTTTGATCTTAGTGTGGACAAGGCTTCACATTCGCACATGATGTGAAATGAGTCTTCCTCTTCTACTCCACACTTCCTGCACAATGGTGATTCCGATACCCCCATTGCGTTAAGATGCTTAAGCAGGTGACCATGTCCTGTCAGTAGACCAGTCAGGGTGCTTATTTGATGTCTAGTCATGCTATTAAGATCACCCAGCAATAAACCAGGGGTCTTGATAAACATTTTAGATTGTCTAGGTACTACCAAGTACTTCCAGATTTTCCTGTGTTGTTCTCTGCACCAATTCTTGGGTAACGCTTTGAGCGATTGCTCAGTGAGCCCTACCACTGGTTCTGGTCCAACATAGGTGTTCTCTGCTCCTTTCCTGGCTAGAAAGTCAGCATTCTCATTTCCAGTGACACCGTTGTGTCCTGGTACCCACGCTAGTGTAACTTTGTTGAACCTCGATAGTGATTCTAAAGTTTCCCTGCATTCGAGGACCAGCTTTGAATTCACCTGATCGTTACAGAGTGTTTTCAAAGCCGCTTGACTATCACTGTGTTATCTTTTGAACAAGTAAAATGTTGATATAATATGCAAATGCATAATTTTTGACGTCATTATTAAATACTACTCAATTTGTATCATACAATTTAATATTTAAATTAATTTTGACATTTTTGAAAAGTTACCTTTAAATTGTAAAATTATATTTAATTTCAATGATTTGCATTGAAGTCAAAAAACCAAAATTAGTAAGAATACTAGCGTTTACATTTAAATCTAATAGAATATTAAAAAAACATTACTTCTGGTTTTGTACGTGCTTTTGGACAATATCTTATGACATTTGATCGACATGCTTCTTTAAAAGATAAGGTGAATCGATAATCATTCATAGTAATTAATTGGAAATGTTCAATAGTGGCTCGACATTTGACTTCACTTTTAAATTCAGGATCATTTTTATTTTTAATTAAACAGTCCATAACATCACTTTTTGTAACATCATCTTTTGATGAAAGTTCACTCTAAAATAGATAAAATATAATTGAAAAAAATAAAAAGTAAATATTAAACAATTAATTGACTAGGACCTAACTTTATTGCAACCACAAAACTTTAAGTATTTATATTCCAAATTTTTGAGCAAATGAGTTTTAATTATTCAATAAACCAATAAATTTTATTAATTTAATAAGACTTTTAATTAAAACAATATACCTTGAATATTATGACATAATGAGCTTATACAAAAACAACTTTTTAATCAAAAATCAGTACTTAATAATTCATTTAAATAATAAGTGGAACAAAATAATTGTTATCTGATTAATTTGTGAATAGTAGATAAGATTGGGAGAGAATGTTGAACCATAAATAATTAAAGATATACTATTGAATTTTTATTTATAGTGAAAACAGAATAGATTACAAGAAAATTTGTCTTACATTGTTCTCTGTTAAAAAAACAGCATGATAAAGACTTTAAATTAAGTGAGTGGCATAGACGAAAAAAAAAAGTGGTTGAATTGAAGTCAATACAATATAATTAATTTTCTACTTATAATTAAGTTATAAATTCAGTAAAGAAGGGATACTCTGTTGCAATAAGTTATTTTATCTAAATATAATAAACATGTGAATATTATCAAATTAACATATTACAATTAACAATAAAAAAAAAAACCAACACAGGGGGGTCGCAGCACAGTGGTGACGTGGCATAGTTGGATCAAGTATAATGATATCTAACAGTGATTAAAATCACTATAAAAAAAAAAAACGCTTCGGTGCAAATTTTTAGATAGTGTTTAATTTTAAAAAAATTGTGTATTATTCCAAAAGCTACATGATCTGCTAGTTCCTTATTATTATCCTGATTAAGATAAAGTATGTCGAATGAAAAATGGTTTATTAAAAAATATTATTTCTCATAAAAAAATTGTGTTGATCCATACACTTTTCAATAAGTTATAGCATTATAAAGTTAAAAATTTAAAAAACAAAATCGAGAATTTTCATACAAAAATTGCATTCGGTAGCTATTGAATTTGGTTCACCATGAAAATAAAATAAAGTCAGAAATTTTTTTTTCCATAATAAAGTACATTACATTAGCTTTAATTTAAGATATATGTAAAAGTGTCAGACCTTCCGGAACATTTTCAACAGATGAAAAAGTTAATTTTTTGTGAAAAAGTTGTCATTTTAAATCTCCCCTATAAAGGTTAAGTGATAGATTTTCAAAAAAATGATATCAAATGAAAGGTAGATATTTAAGGTTTTAGTATAAAAAAAAATTATGTTGATTTGTTGATTTTTCAAAAAGTTATGAAATTTCGAAAATTAGCGATTTTTAAATTTGTAATTTTTTTGGATATTTCCCCCATTTGCGGGAACGAGGGAATTTTTTTCAATTTTTAAGGGTAATGTCTTCAACTAGATACAATTTGTGATCTTTTGACGTATTTTAGAAAGAAATCGGTCCAGTGAGAGCTGAGAAAAAGTTGCAACAGACATGTTGCATGTTGTGCATGTTATGTACAATACTATAAGGCTAACATTACTTACAACAAATACCTTTTAACAGACAATATAATCAAATGTATAAACATACCATACAAAATTTTTGTATAAAAGACTNATATAAATTGAGTCGAAGATATTACTTTAAAATATTTATAAAATATAGAATTTATGTTTTAAATGTCAAAATTAGAAAATATAATATTGTTCTCATAAAATAGATAATGAAACTAAAAAAAATTAATTTTTCTCGTGTGTATTTGAACTTATACTGAAGAATAAAAAATCACAATCCAGTAATTTTTGATGGTTAAATTTCTATGAAATAACATTAGTGTTTTCATTTCTTGTGCATGTTATGTACAATACTATAAGGCTAACATTACTTACAACAAATACCTTTTAACAGACAATATAATCAAATGTATAAACATACCATACAAAATTTTTGTATAAAAGACTTGCAATGTAACCTCACAAAAGGATTTAATTGTATATCTTCAGCTTGGCTTTCTGTCCAACGACTAACAGATTCTTTACATTCTTCAGTCATTTGTTTACTAAAATAAAATATTAATGAAATGTTTTTAAAATAATCATTTACTAGCTATAAAAAGGTACTTGTTTAGGTTATCTTGAAGACAAACTATTTCTTCACCGGGCCCTGTTTTTGTATGACAAAAATTTGGAAGATCTTTTATGCAAGATTCTGCAATTTCTGGATTTAAATCAACACTAATAGCTCGTTGTATCATAACTTTACGTAACTGTTCTTTACATTTAGGTTTTAACTATGTAAAATTTAAAAGAATAATTATATTTAAAAATAAATAGCATAAATTAAATATGTTAGTCTATGGCAAAAATTTGTTAGTTGATTACTTTCAATTATTCAAGACGAAAGAAAAAAAAATATTATTATTCATTTTATTTGAGTCTTTGAAAGTCATTTTAAAGACTCTTTGATAGTTGAAACATGGAAGTCATAAAAGATAAATATCCAATAAAAAAATTTAATAAAATATGTATTCACTTTATTTAATTTACCTTGTATTTTAACCCTGTAGCTGATAATGTAAATGGGCGATAGTATTGAATAAGACATGGTAAGATGTATGTTGTTTCTTTCTGCTTTTTCAACCAATCAGCATTAAATTTACAAATTCTTGATGCATCAGAAAAACATGCTTGATACAAAGCAGGATCCAAAATAAAATCACGGTTAACAAAGTATTGAACTTGCATTAGTGTATTTTTACAATCATCTTGCACCAATCCAACATACATTTTTTCTAGTAAACAAGACATAACTCTAAAAAAAATAATAAAAAAATTATAATCAATTTTACTTATTTAGAATATTATTTTAATTTAATTTTAAAAACTGTAATAAATTTTTTTTTTCACAACTACTATGTTAATTGGATACAATTTTTATATTTTTATAAAATAAAATAGTATAATATTATGAATAAATTAAACTTAAATAAATACCTATTGTAACCAGGAGGTTTATCTCCACAATATTTATCAACTTCGGATTGACATTTCTCTTGAAGAACAGGATCAACTCTCCAATCTTCACCAATATTTGTTATACGCATAAGTTTTTGTAGCTGAAAATATTGTTATTTTAACTATCATTAGTATTATTTTTATGCAATTAATAGTTTCATTATATGTATTAAAATGAAAATATACAAGGTGATTTTTTTAATACTAGCCACTTGATTTTTCTTAAAAAATAATGATGTTAAGAAAATTATTTTTTGTTAATACATACAGCTTTATGACAGGATTTTCCAATACGATTTTTTTGACGAGATGGATTAGAGTGTTCCATTAAACAATGAATAGTTTGTCGTCCTATTTCATTTTTTTGACAATAATTTTCTATATCATTAGAACACATTGAAACTACTTCAGGTGACAACTGATAATTTTGCAATAACAATTTACGATGTTCCATTAGTTCAAATTGACAGTCAGATGAAACTTCACTTCCTTAATATCAATTAATGAACATATTTATATTAAAAAATTAACAAATAATTTATTTAATAGTTACCATTATGAATTGCATTTTCTAAGCATAATAAAAGTTGTGCTAAACGAACATCTTTGTCATCAGAAACTAATCTTCGACAATGATATTTACGAATATCTTCTCTGCAAGCTCTGGTTAATCCTTTACTAACTTTTATATTACCAGTTACTAATTTTTCTCTTCGCCAAAGTTGATTTTGACACTAATTTAAAGTAAAAATGTTAGTTTACTTAAAGGAAAATTGTATCATTATTTAATTGAATGATAAATACAGCTTGTGACATTTTGCCACTACCAATGTGTCTTGAAAGGCAATTATAAATAAGCCCACTTCCAGCAGGCAAATCAGCACATAATTTTTCTTTATCTTTTAAACAAGCCATGTGTAAGGAATAATCAAATTTTATATTATCTGCTTGCCATTCTGAGAGTTTATAAATCATTGGGAGACATTGCTGTGATGACAGTTTATCTATGTTAGATTGAAGACATTCTAATACCCGACCACGGTATAACACCTAAAAACATAATAATTTATTTTATTTTTTCGTTAAAAATATCAATGAATAATACCCATAAACAAAATATTTCAACATAAACTTACATTGGTGGGAGCATTAAAACAATGAAATTTTTTTAAGTCTTCCTCACAAACACTTGAAAAATTAGTTATAAGTCGATAATCAGAAAACGCAATATTTTCAATTCTTAATATAATATGAAGGCAATCTTCATTTCCAACAATATTTTGCTTTTTATCAACTATACATCCAAACCAGTTTTTCTCTCGTTCACAGTTTAATTTTTCGACATCAAATTCGCATTTTGGCCTTAAAATACTTTTTAAATTATCTTTTATCATAAAGTTTTTCAAATGAAGCCATATTACTTCTGAGCAACTACTAGAAAATTCGGAATCCTAAAAAGAAGTAGCTTAATTAAAAAAATATTTTATCATAAATGATTAAAAGATAATTTAATGTATAATGACAAAATATAAAAAGATTTAGATAAATATTGACATATTATTTCTTTACATAATAGTTTTCACTTGTTAACTTTTTCACCAAGTTCTAAATAATTCAATTTAATTACTCATCTTAGACTTCTAACACAATTCATTGTTAAGTAAATTAATTTTTTTAAATTAAATTAAATTACAAAAATCTTAATACATTAGGAATTAAAAATACCTTAATATAACAAACATGCTGTTACATTAGTTTTATGACAAAGAAAAGTAACTTAATTACAATGGAAGTTACTTTTTCTCATTTATATAATCTTAAATATGAAAACTATTTGAATTAAATCATTTATACCAAAAAAAATTCTAATGAGATTTTACTCAAGAGTGTATTTAAAAATTTTAAATGGGGAAAGGGAGACAAAAAAAAAAATTAACTAACAAGCTACCACATGACATTGTGCTTTGTAAGTACACCACTGATTTCATTAGATTCATTAAATTAAATTGCAAAATAAAAATATAATAGTGAAATTAATGTAAATATATAATAATAAATAAACATGATTTTATTGAATAGTATTACTTGAGTCATGATTAGGCATTGATTAAATGGATAAAAGTTCTCTCGAGGAAAAAAGACTTTATACATTTTGATAAAATGAAGAAGAGGGGGTAGGAACATTTATTTTAACCCCCCAGTATAAAATACTAATTAAGCCACTTAAGAGCAGTGCAAACTTTTAAAATAAATCTGTCAAAATAAAGTAATAATTTTTTTAAAATTTCTGTAAGTAAATTACACTGAAATTACTTTATGAGTAGTTTTTTCACTGTAACTTTGAATTCAAAGTTAAGTTACTACCCAACACTAACAAAATTATAAATTTTTAATTTACACATCTATTAAAAGAAACTCTTAACTTAATAATTTTTTTAAAACATTTTAATTACCAACTATTTATTCATCAAAGTTCTCTCAATTTAAGATTTATTTTCTCCATACAATTCTTGTTGTTTTTAAAAATCCTTAAATGCTAACAATAAAAAATTGGAAAGTTTATAAAATTATTTTTTTTAAAAAATTTTAATATGCAAGTATAGACATTTTTGGGTCATTAATAAAATTAAGAAGAAAAATTGGATATAGAATGAGATTAATGTATGGCTATAATTCAGGAACATTGTTCTTGAATTATAGTAACAATAATAAAATAATATCTCTAATTTATGTGTTATAGTTCAGAGAAATGTTTTTTTGAAGTAATTTCACTAAGGAAAAAGATATGGGTGTCATATCACTTCATGACAAAAATAATTAAATGAAAAAGATAAAAAATGTTTTGTTTGTAGAGGGAACTAGACAATTTTCTTATGTAGACTCCTAATAATGCTACTCAGGAATTTATAAAAAATAAAATATTTTACACAATATTTATACTTCAGTATAATAAATGTAAAAACCATTATGAGACATTTAAAAATTAAAAAATTTTAAAATCTATTATTATTATAATTATATCCAAATTTCTTACCTCATAGAGCTGAATGCATTCCAAAACATCAAGTTCCGATATTTTTCTAGCACCAGTATTTGTACATCTTAACTTCAAGTCATCAGCACAAAATGGTTCATCTAACAATAGAAGACTAGATGCCAAGATGTATTTAGTACCAAATAATAATATGAATGTGTAAAACAAAACGTCAGTAAATTTATTACGTATCATTATTAATCAGTCTTTTTGTAATTATCGGCAAATTTTATTAAATCTGCCTAAATTCAAAATAATACAAAATTTAAAATATATTTTACTAGGTTCATAATAATTTGACTTTACTTTCGAAACGGTTTTATCAGTCTCACGACAAAGAATTGAAGGAAATTTTAATTGATCAAGAAATTACTTTATCTGATATGTATCCGTAATTGATAAAAACCGGTACGTCAAGTCTACAGAATAGAGTAAATCAGAATGTTCACTGATAAGAAATTACACGGGCTCTTATTGGAGGACATAAAACTACACTCAGTGTCACCACTAGATTAAGAGAAAAAAAATACTGTTAAAAATAAATTTATTTTAGCGGCTCATTTGAACTCTAATATTTACATTGATCTATCTGTTATTAAACCTAATTAATAAGAAAATATGAATATATTTTATTCATTCTTTATTGTGCATAAGGTTTTTTATATATCAATTAAAAACTATTTGTATATCTTGGAAATAAAAATATATGATAATTTTTATGAATTAATACCAGTTATTTTTAATTACATTTTGATAAACAAAATTAATTATAATTTTAAGTAGGATTACATTAGGTACATACATAAAAACATGATTGATACCAGTCGGACAACTTGTGCGGTAGCTGTTTCACCTGTTATGTGTGTAGGTCTACCCAACGCTTGTAGTGTCAACGTTAAGTGAGACATCACCACTTAAACTAGGCTGGACTCGTGTAAAAGGAAGAAAGATAGATACATAGTAAAAATAGGTACTTGCAATGTTGGAAAGCTGTAAGAACAGTTATAGAATTGAATTTTGAAGGAAGAAGAGGTAGACGATGACCAAAAAAGAGATGGAAGAATGTAATTGAATGCGATATGACGGCTGATGATATATGAGCGTAGATGATGTTGGTGATCGTGTCAAGTAGAAGTTTAGGATAAGGGTGCCCGACCCCAAGTATTATGGATTAAGGCGAGAAAAAAGAAGAAGATTAATTAATGCAAGATCTACTTTTTTGATGAATTGTGTTTTTAAATTGAAATTTTTATCCTTTAGTCACTTTAAATATTTAACATTTTTAGTTTAATTAAGTATTACTATATTAATTTAACCTTTAACATTTCATATTTGTTGTATAGTAATGCTATTATATGTACAACTGCTCTCCTGGAGTATTATTAGTATAGTTTTTTTATTTCATCACCGGATATGATATCAATACAATAGTCATTTGCATGTTTATAAGACTCGATTTTTTTTACTATTAACCAACCTCATGCTAATTTATCTAAAATAACACCTTTCTTTAAATTTTAAAAAAACTTAGTTACAATTTTATATCAGTATGCCAAAATTCGGGTCATTCTAATAATTAATTAAATTGAAGAAAAAATAAATTTTTTTTCGGGTCATTATTTTAACACGTTTATGGACAGTTAATGAAATGGTATTTAACAAACACTGGTTTTATGAGATGCATAAGAATAACTTCCTCCTTCATAAGAAATCATTGAAAATATTATTGCTATATCAGTAATATATGATTTTGTCCATGAACGTGTTAATATATTAATATATATAATTATAAATTACATTAATATATTCAAAATACATAAAATAATATTTAGGTTAAAAAAAAGAACTGATATGCCCTAAAAGAAAACATAAAAAGAGTAAAATTGATAAATTATATAAAAATCAATTAAATAAAGGACTTCATTAAATTTTAATTGATAGATATATTTTAATATGAAATAAAATTTTGTAGATTTGTTCCACTTAATAACCACAAGTTTATTTGTCCATATATAGTTAGACGCAAAAATTGAATTAATTAAATAACATTGGATGAACGATTATATTTTCTGCTGCAATAATTCCAGTAGAAATATTGTTTTGAAGTGCTAGTAGATTTTTGTTGAAAATCAAAGAAAATAAGATTAAATTTTAGTTCTTTATTTTATAAAAAAAAAATTACGCTCTCTAATGGTGATATATTTGCTATTAGCAACACATTACTGTCAAAATATAGTTAACTTCATTCATATTATTTCTCCATGAAACTCTTTCTAAAAAATTATTATCAGATGTTATCTACTGTGTTTTAGTTGCCGCCAAAAATTATTATCTCATAACAAAAGTTCAAAAAATTTTGAAACTAAATAGTTACTTAAGATTTAAATGCATTTCAATTATTATTTTTTATTCATAATTCTTATGTGATAAAGTTTTAAAGATTATTAAGTAATAAATATGAAATGAATGATTAGTTGTTAATAAAATCATTACTTGTATACTTTTTAATTTAAAGTTAGAATTAAAATTGTTTTCAATTTATAAACAGTTTTATAAAGAGTTGTATATATATTTTGCTTATTGTATTTCTAATTGTTTTACCTACATAGCATTAAAGAAAAATGAACTTTACTCCTAGTCGGAAAGCAGTTACATCTGAAAAAACTGAAGAATTTACTTTTGCTAATGATTTGCAACTTTATCGGGAAATTCCTGACATAAGTTTGAATTTAGATGAATTTGAAGAATGGGCCATTGAAAGGTTAAAAGGTAAGAAGAATAAGGTTATCTGACAGTTGCTTAAGTATTTTTTTAGGCATTTAAGAAGTTAAATGAATCATCAAAATATTAAAGATAGATCAAACTATTTACTTTTCATATGATTAAAAATTTACAAAATTGTCCTTTACCTAGTAAAATATTTATGTAAATTTAAATTGCAATATATTTAAATTATTTTTTATATTCTCTTTTTCAAATAAAAATAAGACAAAGAACTTAAGAAGATTTTTAATTAAAATATATTATATTATCAGATATTTATAAATCATTCATATAATTAAAATAATGGTCAGTTTTACAACCTTCTATTTCTCGAACTTAACATGTTACAGAGGGTGGTATCCCTCTTTCATGTGTAAGGGAGTTAAAGATAATTCTATGCCAAACAAGTGATGGACAGAGACAAGATATCATCAATAAGAAAATCACAGAAAAATCTCATTGGTACCCTAGGAATTGAACCTAAGACCTCTTGCGCCAAAATATATGTTTCTACTCGCTAGAGTAGGGCAACCCTAAAATCAATTATATAATAATTATATAATTGATTTTAAAAATAATTATTATTTTTAAAAATATAACAATAGCATATATTTAATTTAAAACGTAAAACAAATACAAACTTAGATAAGAGTTGGTTTACTATATAAAAATAATGATTAGTATAATATTAGTAAACTATTTTAATTTCTTTAATATAACCATTAAATATTAAATTAATTTGTATTTAAATTAATTAAAATAATAATTTGACAATGATAGTTTGATTTATAGTCTTACAGATATTGGAACAATTAAGTTTGAAAGGTAATACCAATAACTATGAAGAATTTACAAAGTCAGTTGTTCAAGAAATTAAGAAAGAAGGTTTAAAACATATGTATAAATTGGTGTGTTATTTTATTTTTCATAAATTATAACTAATTATTATACTAGATTTTTATTTATATTTTAGATAAGTGGTAATCATTCAAAAGATCCAATAGAGAGTTCAGAAATAAGGAAAAGAGATTTATGTTCTCATTTTATTCTAAGACTTATTTATTGTAAAAGTGATGAACTGCGTAAATGGTTTATAAATAGAGAAGTAGAATTATTCAGATTACGATGGTCATTTTTGTCCAAAATTGATAAATTAAGATTCTTATCATCGAATGACACAAATTATTCAGCAGTATATAATTTAAATGTTAAAGTTGTATAGAAGTTTATTTACTTTATTTTTAGGTTACTGAAGAAGAATTTAAAATAATGTCTGAAAATATGAGTTCATTCACAACTTCAGTTAGTAATAATGAATACTTTAAAGTTCGTTGGAATCAAGTTTTAGAGTTAATACGTAACAGAAAAGTATTTCTCCGGAATGGCTTTGCGTATGTTATTCAAACAGATGTTATATCTGGAATTTGTCAAAGCTACAGATCAGAACTTTCTCAAGAATTAATTGTAATTTCATAAGCTTATTTACTAATCTAATGATTAATTGTTTTTTTAAATTTCAGAAATGTTTCCAAAAATTCAGTATAATTAGTGAAGATGAACGATTTGGGGCATTTATTAAATACTTAAATCAATCTTATATGGGCAAAAATTATTCTATTTCTGAAAACATGTCTTCCTTATCAATCAACAATATTGACTATGTAAATATTTTTAATTACATTAATATTTTTTTTCAACTTTTGAATTGTTTAACACCAGCCAATTTTTAAAAATTAGAATGGTGTATTGGAATTATTAAGTATAGTGGTTTCCCTTTTGTCCTCTGTACTAGGAAACATAGTGTTTACTGCTGTTGAAATTAATTTGTAGTAACCCATTTGATAATTTGTAGTGACAGGCAAAGATTAACTTCAGAACTTAACATCATCTAAAGTGTCCATTCCATCACACTACACCCTTTTTACACATATTAATATTATTATCTATAAAATAATTTAAATATTTTTTAGTAATTTCAAATAATAATGTAATCAAGTAATAATCTTACACATCCAATTTTTCGATAAATTTTTAGTTATGAACATAATATTTTAAATACATTTTTAGTTTTAAATAATGTTAACCTCAAGTGATTAGTTTTTATTATATTTATTATAACTTGCTCATATATACAAAATGAAAATTTAAAAAATTTCTTATTGACTATTATTTTTGTTGATATGAAATTTTTATTGTCAGCTAATAAGAAAAGGTGTTGTTGATAAATTTCTAATGATAAAAATAGTCATAACCAAACTCCTCACATCTATTCTATACTTTAAGATGTTAATAACTTTCAAATTACAGGTTCAAAAGTTATTAAGGTTATAATTTTTTAATTTATAAGATAGTTTTCATTGAATAAAATTAAATTTATCATCTTATAAACTATATGGGATGGACCTAAAATTACAAAATTATTGAGAATTATTTATGAATAAAAAAAATACAGACAGGATTCTAAATAGAGCACTTATGCTTAAGACATTTTTTTTAGATTAATATGTGATGTTGATTAAAGTCGTTGTCGTAAAATGCCTGGATGTGTAAGTTTTTGAAAATAAGGAATATTTGAAATAAATAAACCATATCCACTCAATATTACATGATTTTTTATTTTAAAAATCAATTATTTATGCAAGATGAGATGGAAGAATGTCTTTTTTTTTAATACTTTAATGAGCTTTATTTTTATTTAGTTTTGAGTGATGTAGATAGTGACTAACGAACTAATACCAATAAAATCATTCATTTTGACTTAAAATTGTATAATTTTTTGCTTTAACGACTAATAGCTCACAATTTTTGATTATTTAATGTCTCAATGAGTTTAATCTGTTAAAAAAAAGAAAAAACAGACAGAGTAAAATCAATACTTTCTCAGTTGTGTATCGAATCTAAATCTAATTTTTTTTTTTTTTGTAATTGAGTGTATTATAATAATTGGATTAACTTTACTTGTAAATGTAAAAAATTAAAAAAATCTATTTTTTTATTAAGTTATATTCAGCTTTTTATTATATTTATCCTTGATATATTAAACATGATTATTTTATATTAGCTTCGATGCGAAGCGGAGAAGGTATTGATTTATTATGATGTTTTTTTTTTTTTATGTCTGTTGCCACTTTTTCTCAGCTCTCACTGGACCGATTTCAAAAATACGTCAAAAGATCACAAATCGTATCTAGTTGAAGACATTACCCTTAAAAATTGAAAAAAATTCCCTCGTTCCCCGCAAATGGGGGAAATATCCAAAAAAATTACAAATTTAAAAATCGCTAATTTTCGAAATTTTTTCACTTTTTTTTCTTAAAACTTCCATAACTTTTTGAAAAATCAACAAATCAACATAATTTTTTTTTATACTAAAACCTTAGATATTTACCTTTCATTTGATATTATTTTTTTGAAAATCTATCACTTAACCTGCTCATTGGGGGGGATTTAAAATGGCAACTTTTTTACAAAAATTAATTTTTTCAACTTAATTTTTGAAAATGTTCCGGAAAGACTGCGTCCTTTAAACATATATCAAATTAAAGCTTATTTTATGTACTACAAAATGAAAAAAAAAAATTTGTCCCGACACTTTTTTTTCTACATTTAAACGGCTGCCGTAGTTAAAAAAACACTATTTTTGTGTTAAAATTTTCGATTTTCGATTTTAAATTTTCAACTTAAAAATGCTATAACTTTTTGAAAAATGTATATATCAGCACAAATTTTTTTTTTCTAAATACATTATAAGTACATCTTTCATTTGACATACTTTTTATTAAAATTGGACAATTTCCCCATATAGAAAACTTAGTTCAAAACTTAAAATATTGTAAAAAACATAGATCTTTTTCAACTGAACTTTTGATAATGTTCCCAAAATACTGCGTCCTTTAAACATATATCAAATAAAGCTTATTTCATGTACTATAAAATAAAAAAAAAAAAATTTTTCCCGACGACCTATCTTCTATGTGCAAATGGCTGTCGAAAATTTAAAAAAAAATGTAATGTTTGCGATAAAAATTACATTTTATCGGGATGTTTTTTGTACTTAAAACTGCCATAACTTTTTCAAAAATGAACAAATAAAAATAATATTTTTTTGTATTGAAACCTTAGATATTTCCCTTTCATTTGATATAATTTTTTTTGAAAATCTAACACTTATTCTGCTCACTGGGAGGATTTAAAATAGTAACTTTTTTCAAAATAGTAACTTTTTCAACTTAATTTTTGAAAATGTTTCGGAGATACTGCGTCCTTCAAACATATATAAAATTAAAGCTTATTTTATGTACTACAAAATGAAAAAAAAAAATTTGTCCCGACGACTTATCTTCTATGTGCAAATGGCTGTCGAAAATTTAAAAAAAAATGTAATGTTTGCGATAAAAATTACATTTTATCGGGATGTTTTTTGTACTTAAAACTGCCATAACTTTTTCAAAAATGAACAAATAAAAATAATATTTTTTTGTATTGAAACCTTAGATATTTCCCTTTCATTTGATATAATTTTTTTTGAAAATCTAACACTTATTCTGCTCACTGGGAGGATTTAAAATAGTAACTTTTTTACAAAAAATAACTTTTTCAACTTAATTTTTGAAAATGTTCTGGAATTACTGCGTTCTTCAAACATATATAAAATTAAAGCTTATTTTATGTACTACAAAATGAAAAAAAAAAATTTGTCCCGACGATCTATCTTCTATACGCAAATGGCTACCATATTGAAAAATATACTATTTTTGTATGATAATTATGGGTTTTGTATTTTATTTTAATAGAAGTTGATGTTGCTTTTGCAATTATCCATCAATTTTTTAAAATTAAACACTATCTACAGATTTGCATCGAAGCGTTTCTTATGATAGTGATTTTAATCACTGTCAGATTAAATCTATACTGGACCCTACTATGCAATGTCTCCACTATGCCGTGACCCCACTGTGCTACTGTTTTTCTTATCTATTTCTCACATGCTAACTTAAATTGATATATCAAAATTAAAAAATTGTGTATTATTAAAATACTCATAGTATTTTTTATTTATAATATAAAATATTATTATATATTATATCACTATAAAATAATTACAGGCTTCTAAGGATTCTTTTCCATTGTGTATGAAACGATTGCATGTTGTTTTAAGGACTGATCATCATTTAAAACATCAAGCTCGTCAACAATATGGTTTATTTTTAAAAGGTGCTGGGTTACCGCTTGAACAAGCTTTAATATTTTGGAGATCAGAATTTACTAAAAAAATTGATTCAAATAAGGTATAAAAGTATTTGTACTAGTTTTTATTAATCATTAATTATTAAAAAAATAACAATTGTAACTTATAATTTCAGTTTGATAAACAATACAGCTATAATATTAGACATAATTATGGTAAAGAAGGTAGAAAGACTAACTACACTCCTTACAGTTGTATGAAAATAATTATGAGTTCAGTGGGGATGGATGAATACCATGGATGTCCTTATAAACATACTAATAGTCAAGCTTTAAAACAATTACTGGAAACTTCAAATATTTCAGTTCAAAGTATTTGTCAAATTTTTTATGTTCATTTTTTTTTTATTAGTTATTATATTTTTGACTATAGGTATTCAAGAAATTTTAAATCTTTCTCAAAATGGTCACTACCAAATTGCTTGTACCAAGTATTTTGAGGCTAAACATAATGTGTCTCCATCATCTACAGCAATTAACCATCCAAATCAATTCTTTGAAGAAAGTCAAAAATTAAAAGGGCATGTAGATGGTGCTACTATCATGAATAGTTGTGAGTTTGTTTTATTTTAGTATCCTAATTTATTTATCTATTATTAATTTTTATTTACAGCTCAAATAAATTCATCAATGGTAGATGATATAAATAATACAGATTTTGATCAGTCAATTGTAAATTTTATTGAAAATATGGATTGTAATTAGTATTTATAACATTTTTCATTTTATTATAATTATTATTTTTAAGAAAATTAAACATTTACAACTAATCTTATTATTAAAAATTTTTCAATTTGTAATTGAAATTATAAAAAATAACACTATAACATTGGTTAAATTCGTTAGTTTAAAAATAATAAAATTGTTTAGGCTCTTTAGTAAATTATAACTTACTCACTTATCTAGGATAAAAGCTTAACTAGTAATTTTGAGCTACTCCTTATTTTTGTTTTAAACTGTAAAATATTCTATCAATTATTGATTGTTTGATATTATATTTTAGTTTTTAGTAATTCAACTAAAATTACTGAGATAGTTTACTTATCTAAAGAATATTAGCGAAATTTAGATATTTTCACAGATGGATTTATTTATTGATGAAATTTTTTATGTTCAAATATTTACTTTCTTATGTTGAATATGGACAAATAATTATGAGACAAGACAAATAATAATGGGATAATTTTATACATTTAATAAATATGTTTAATTGCTTAACGAAAAAGTTTAAGTAATTTAGTTTTGATTTAATGCAATTTAAACAATAATTTTGTAATTCTAGAGTTTCTATTCTTCTTTATGTAATAAGTTAGTATAATACTACTACATTGTCTTCTAAATAATGATACGATATTGTGCTCATATCTACATCTCTTATAACTGTCATAAGATCATAATCCAGCATTAGGTGATTTTTGACACAGTAATACCACATTAAACCAACAAGGGTTCAAATTGCATACATAAACATTACATATTCATAGTCATGAACCATACGGGCTTAACAGCAGTTGATTTTTTACCATTGTCACAACCATACTCTTTATATACTATAGAACCACTGACTAATTTAATTAAACTTAACTTAACGACTTATTTAATGGAACGGTTGAGAGTGTGTGTTGCTGCTGACTCCCTGTTGGAATACATCTCTAGATGTCCAGTAAGTTGTATTATTTCATAACAAATACTTATTAATAAACTATAACCAAAAGAATTCCTGAGCATATCAATAAAGTTTATCTTATTATGTGATGTTAAAATAAGTTTTGAAAACTTTTGCTAACAAGTTTGGTAAACATACTAATTGTGTAACGTAAATATATCAAAACTTTTGTAAGACAATTTATTTATAAAAAATTTAGATAAAAGTTTTATTTTTATTACTAGGATGTTGTAAGAATTATCAAAAAGTAGAAATATTATCCCAACATTATATTATAATGCTGGTGTCCACTTAAAAATGCTGATGAGATCACGCTGGACACATCTTGAGAGACATGGACATACTAATTGGAGGAACTTAGCCCTTCTTAAATTTTAAAACAATTTTATAAATGATTATATAGAATAAATTAAAAATATAATACAAATTCAATAACTTTTGTTCCAATTATTATTTTATAGTAATTTATTTTTAAATAATTTTTACATTTTTAGACTACACAAAGACATATTTTTATCTTTATAAGAATTTTTTTTTTATTTTTAATTTTTTCGAAGTTTTAAAATAGCCATTTTTTTAGATTTTTTCTTATAAAAATGGATTTTCAAACAAATTATTGAAATCGTGCCTAAGTACTTAAAAATATAATAATATATAAATGCTTATTAATTCCTGGTATTACATTTTATTTTTATAAAATACCAATATTTTAACATAAGTTCATTTTTTTGGGATTTTTTCGTTTTCGATTAACAAGTTTATAATCATAGAAACTTCAGAAGATTAACTTGTTGAACTTGGCTGCTAGTTCATAATTTGTAACTACAAAACTTCAAATAATAGAAAATAAATATATATTTAATGATAAAACACCTCATATTCAAAAAAGTGTTAGTTACGCAGTATTGCAATTACAATGACGATGTATAACTTAATATACTTCATAATGTTTACAGTATCTGTTTGTCACAACATTAGAAATTCTCTGATATCTGTAATGATTGTTTTTTAAAAACTTAATTGTATCATTAATGTGTATTGATGTCTTTGTCTGATGAATGTTTCAATTACGATGATTACTCTCGAGCACAGTACGATATCACTCATATAGTGCCAAAGTAAAATCAGTTAGTTTAAAACCCAATTGTAAGATGGTCACTCCAACCAATATGAATTTTTACCAATTCAAATAAAGTCAATTGAGGAATCAAAGCATTGAGCGTCCAATGAGATTGTAATAAGCAAAAGCGCTAAACGCAATTTTGACGAGGACGTGACTTACGAAAAATTAATGTAAGTTGAATATCGTCTGTATAAAAGATATTTATTAAGTTTTCATATAATTCAAGTAGTATGAATAGACGTATACATGTAGGTCTATGATATTTGTTAAAATTATACTTATGTTACACAACAACCGTCGGAACAGCTTCTTTCGGTACTTTCTTCTGCTATTATCAAAACTCTTCAAGAAATCAATAAGAAAAATTACAGGCGTGCTCATTTAAAAAAATACGTATTTGTCAAAGAAAATATATAAACAAAAAATGTAAAGACGTTATTGCCGAAAACATACATGAAGTTTCATACAGCGATTCTGACGAACAACTTTGAGTCATTTAATATTACTAAGCCATGTAATATACTTTATTACTAATAGTAAAGTAGAAAAACCTAAGATTACAACTAATTCATTCTGAAGAGAATGATTTATAAAATTGCAGTGTACTTAGATTAGATAAGTGAATATTTGATATTTATTAAATTGTTATATTTCATTGAGTCAAACGAGGTGAACGATTAAATAATTTAAAATTGTCTTGTTTTGGAATGGTAGATTTGTTTCATCAATTTTCAGTGAGCATCTACTCTATCTGAAGAGTATTCGTGTACCTAGGTATATTTGCATAGTTATTTTAATTAATTATACTACATAGTAGCTGACAATAATCTTAACTTGGTTGGGTAAACCTGAAATTAATTTAGATTAATTTAAGTTGTTTTTTTAAGTTTTAAAGTCAACACATTTAAGATGATTATTGAAAGTACACGAAAAAAAATTGCTAACGCCAATATAAAAATATCTAATTAACTATTTATAATAATCATATTTTATTTAGTTAGTTAAATAACTAAACAAATTGTTAGTTCATCTACTATAATTAGGTTTGCTGTTAATCGATTATTTTGAGTAGGTTTAATCATAGGAAAATATTTGGTAAGTATAAATTAAATTTCTCCTTTTCCTAAAAAAATCATTAGTAAATTTTTATGTAATTTATTTTCCATGTTTTAAAGGTACACTAAATTTATTCCATAAGTTGAAAATTATTTTTTTTAGATATGTCATTAAAAAATAGGTGAATTTTTATGTCTTAGATGGCATGATTTGTAATATTGAATTAAAGAATGTCTCAAAACAACGATATTATATGTTAATAATGCAAAATATACAACTAGATAATAAAATACCTGATGTGTTATTAAAAGAATTGTTTATTAACATTCTTACATGTTGTCTAATTTTCACTAATTAATTAATGTGATTGTTTGCAACGTTATCAAACTCATCCTGTTATTATGGCATTGTTATTATAAGATGGATTCTGCATAACTGCAAAAATAATTTCCGTGTGTATTTATTATTCTATGTGTAATGTGTAATACTATTACTATTGTTATTGGTGACATTTTTTGCGACCAAGATATTGTAGTCTCTTCCTCTTGATAGACAGTATCCGGTGATCTCGCGACTAAACAGCTCCACAATAAAAACTAGAGCAGCTCGTGCTAGCAGTAGGGAAATCTTTCATGGTCCAGTGAAGCATGCGTTGGAAATATGTGCTCCTATAAAGAATAAAATATTATTAAAATCAGTCGCGTGCCATGTTCGCTTCTATATAGGAGTACAAAAATCGTGTTTACACAAGCAACTGTATTACAAGCCAAAACCAACGTATTCGGACAAATTCAAATTTGTTTTTATTTTTTTTTGAAACATGAGCTTCAATATTTATGCTGTTTATATTATGTGGTTTTAATTTTTGTTTTTTGAATTATTAATTTAATTAAGTTCATATTATTGTGAAAAACGAACTTTAAGTATTTTAAAACAACATCTCTTAAGATAGCTAAAAATAATGCTATGTCTGGTAAGTAATATATATTTTAAATTAAAGTATAATGTTCATTTGAGTAAATTTGTAGATAACTTATAATTAAATGGTTAATATCAAAATTGAATAAATTGTCTATGTAAAAAATTTTTTTAATAATATAAAATTTTGCTCAAATAGCAATATTTAAAAAATATGTAAAGAAAATTTATAAATATGTATAAATAAATTTTGAGCCTCCTATTAAATTTGTAATTATTGTCACGCAAAAATTCCATGTTCTTTTAATGGTGGAATTTCATATATGGGTGATTATGTTACTGACAAGGGAGTCTCATTGTTTTTCTTCTACAAAAATCCGATGATTTTCAAGGTTGTTAGTATTACTATTATAGTAATTATTTGTGTTATTAACCCTTAAATTAACATTTATGATTGAAACATACAATAAAAAAATGTGATTTATTAGATCATTTTCGAATTATTTAAAAGTCTCCAAAACATAAAATATATAATGAAAATTTTACAAAACTGTCAAAAAGAGTGTGACAATGGGAGGAATTTATTCCCTTAATGCCCTCCTATTTGATTGCTACCAACTTATTAAGGGTGTCAAAACCTGATGGGACACCTTGTTTAAGGGCATACTTTGAAAAAATAGTCTATTATTGGGACATAATTATTAATAATTTTTTTTTATTGCAAATATAATAATAAATTGAAACGATTTGTAGGTAAAATATTGCACAAAAATAATTTTTTTAAATTTTGTGTTAAAAGTTCATTTACAGGCATAAGTTAAAAACAATATTTATGATTCTGCTAAAATTTGGTTTAGATTTAGAGTTAAGTCAATAATTTAATGAAGCATATAAATTTTTTTTTAGTATATTTACAAAACCAGGATTTTATTTTGGAAGGTTTAAAAGAAAAAATCGCCCTATTTATGCAATAATATCAAGTTTAATTTCATAACTATATTGTAATTTTAAAGAAAAAAATTAGGAGGCGGTCTCATTATATGAGGGTTATATTATTATATTCCTTTTATGGAATGTATATTTATCTACTAAAATTGGTGTTACTTAGTAAATTGTAAATGTGTAAAGAAAGGAAACATATTTTTTATTTTTCTATATCAAAGTTTTGTTCTACCTGATTTATTCAATGGATGTATATCTATAAAAATTACCAACGCCAAAATATTTGTTTCAAAATTTCACACAAATAGATAGATTACTCGATTTTATTTAAAAAAATTTCGCTCTTATTTTCAAATTAAAAATAAAACTATATAACTACAACAAGTAAATACAAGCTTTTTGTATTCAAAATTGTTTACGAAATCATATAACAGTCATTGTGATATTGAAATTAATTATTTAATATTTAAGTTAGATCGAATATAGTTGTATTTTTATTAAGAAATATTTATAAATACGTTTTGTTACAATCAGATCAATGGAATATCATTAATTCTTATTCTAAATTACTCTAAAAACAGTATTCACACTCTAATGATGTTTCAAAAATAAAATATTTGAAAATGAAATTGTATTTTCAATTTTAATGATTATAATAAAGTGTAATAATTATAAGAACAAAAAATTAATTATTAACTCTTTTTGATATCAATTTTTCAATTTTTTTAAAATTCAATAATTGAAAAAATATATACATATATATATATATATATATGTATATATAGGTATTTAGTTTAAAACTAGATGTTTACCCATTTTAATTTTTACTAAATAATCAACAGTTAAATGACCTTTTGTCAGTTATTTTTTATATATTATATTAATATTTATTTTGAAAAATGAAGTAAGAATGAATTTAAAGTAGAGTTCTATTGCGTATATTTAAATTTGTTGTCGCAATCAAAAATCAAAATTATGTAACTATATATTAAGTAACATATGTGCTGTATGATCAGACGTCATGAAATGTTTTTAGTTAATCCTTGAAATTAGTTTGAGAAATATTTTCTATGGGGTACTTGAGGGAATGTCTTTAAATTAAATTCTGTTATAGTTTTAGAATCTTTCAAAATAATAATAATAATTCATTTTTATATTTGATACTTCTGAATGCATTTGTCTAGTAAATTTAGTAAAGGCGAATTCAATAGGAAATTATACATTTGCTGTACAAAATAATTGTACCTTACAGTGATCACAAACTTTATCAATTTTATCAGTATATTAATTAACGAATATCTTTATTTTAATAAATTTATTATTTATTATTTTATTTATAAATTTATAATTAATAAAATAATTCACAGAAATAAAATTTGAGATACACTTGCTTGATTACTTTACTGTAGAAATTTTTCTAATTATTATTTTCATTTATAACATACAAATTAATGATAATTAAAAATTTTAATAGTCCTACAAATATTGATCTTATTAATATCTTACAACCACTTCAAAAATTATTTTTTATTGATGTTTTACCATAAAACGTATTTAAATCAAATACATTACGAATGTAAAAAGAAAACAAATTATATTCAATTTTCGCAAATTCTAAGAATTCATATTGGTAATATAATATTGTGATAATATAGAATTCTTAATTAATACATTGATGATAATATTTGAAATTTATGTTGAAGGCATCAACAAATAAGTCACCATAATATTCGATTCTAAACTAAGCTTCCGATCAAAAATTTTTTAAGTGAACTCTAGTTATAACATCACAAACATAAAAAGAAAATTATTTCGTTTCGATCCGTGTCACAAAAACAATTGTATTTAGATAACAATTATTTTAATCAAACAATACTAAAATGTTTCTTGTTATATAACATTACATATGGTTATCGGTAAAATTTTTCTATTGAAGTACTCATTTGTTTAAATATTATGTCACTGTAGTGTTTTTATGTATTACCAATCAAAATTTTCTTTATGGGCGAAAAACAAGTATACACTGTACTAGTTATTATTAATTGCGTTAAGTTGTAAAATTGTAGTGTTATGATAAATGAATCACTTTTTCATTGTGATCAAAAGTTGAGTTATTATTATACATTATGTACTTGTTTTTAATTATTTGGTTTGAACTAATCAATAAAAATTCTTCTTTGCAAATACTTTAACTAATGTAATGGGAAGTACCATAATAGTCAAGTATAAACCTACGTATATTTAAAACTATTATCATACGTATTCGCAGGGCTAAGTAGAGCAGTTGCTGGCCTTTTGATCTTGCTTGGTCAATTATCATAATCATTATGTATTATAAATTTTAGCAAAATAAAATTTTTTTTATTTAAAAGATAAGAAAAATGTATTTTTATTATGTTACATTACGAATGTCAGGATAAGAATATTGTTTCCATAAATTAATGACATGCAGGTTTGGTTTTTATTTATTAAATTTATAAACACTTCATTTTATAAATAATACATAAAACTATCAAATAATATTTTATTTATCCTTTTTTTTGTGTGAGGCCCATAGGTGCTTATTAGAGGAACATTTTTGAGAATGTTAAATGTATTTTCTCTTTACTCTTAAAAACACTACATGTATGTATGCGTTGTCACATACATCATTTTTTAATTTTTTGGGGAGTAAATTCTTTGTTTTTTAACTGACGGAGCTACCTACTTTATTATTTTTATAGATAAAATTGGGATCGATTGACTAGTTAATAAACGTTCAAATGTGTAAAAATATCTAAGTGATGTTATGATATATACATTATATCAGGGGCGGATCCAGAATTTATTCCAGGGAGGGCGTCATTAGATACATTTTTTCTTTTAAGAACTGATTTATTATTTTGTGTTTATTACATTTCTATTTTTAAAAATTCGTTTAATGTTTGCTGCATAATAATTTTTTAAATTACAATAGTATATGTTTTTTGATGACTTTAAGGACATAAGTATATAAAAATAAACTCGTTAATCAAAATTAATTGCATATGAAGAACTTTATTTGAAATTAAAAGGTATTTAACAATGTACCAATGTAATTTTGTATATAAACATACATTAATTATATAAAAGAAACAGGAAATAATAAATATGTAATAGTATTGTTTTAGACATAAGATAATAAATAATAATATGTATAATAGTATAGAACAAACGGTAGAACATTATGAAATGTAATTCCTTTTTGACAAAAATGTAATAAATATTTACGAAACGATTAATAAAGAAATAATGTAATAACTAAAAGAATGTCACCAGTAGTGGTCTTATATTTAGGTTACATTAGGTTAGGGTTATTACTTAATAAATGTAGTTAGTGTATTAAAACTATTCTTACCTGATATTCACTGATGATGATGAATTCTCGATTGTAGATTTATATTTGATAAGTATTAAGTCTATGAAGACACAGTATAAAAAATACGCTATAGTACGTAGGGAATAATGTTAAAGAGTTTAACTTGATAAATGAGATTGTTAATTTAGAATAAGAGACAAGAAAGTGAATGTGTGACTAATTGGAAAAACAGGGTCTTCAACCCTTATATAATGTACCACGAATGTCATAAACGGGAAATGTTCGTCTTGAATGTGTCATACTTTTTTATAGGCACATTAAGTCATCATTCTGTATTTCAATAAACGCAAAAGAGTTATTATAATTAATTTTCCTTTTTTAATACTTTAGTGGTGCCTCGTAGACGGTAAGAAAGACAATGACTCATGGACACCCCATAGTGGCCAAGGTCAGAATTATATGCGTAATAGTTGTAGCGTACTCTTTTCTGTGGTCTGAGAAATAAAAGAGGTATCATTTTTTTTATATTCCACAGGAGAATATTACAATAATGAATGATTATTTCTTGCCTTTGAAAATACTATCGAATTTAATATATAAAGCCCAATATAATGAGCATTTTGGATCCGGTGTTGTTCAGATGGTGAGATCAGAATGCTCTCACTTCACTAAATCAATCTCATTCACTCAGTCGTTCTCAATTCACACTTTATTTTCAATTCACCACAAATATGCAAAAGAAGTGAATATTGAAATTTCATAAAAAAAATTAACATTTATTTATTTCAGAGTATTTATTGGAAACATTAAGGTAGGAAAAAAATTATTTTATCGAAAATCTACAAGGTTTAAAATTAAGTTTTATGAGTACATAGTTTAGTAGGGACAAAATCAAGTGATTATCAATAATAAAAAATATTCTAAGTAAATTTAATAAATTAATGTTTGTACGAAGTTAATTGGCAGAGTTAGATCATTGACACGTGTATATTTCAGAAGTTAAGTAAAAGGTTCATAAATAGCAACCGTAGTAGTTTGGTTGGGCACACGAGTTGACTAAATCTCACCTATCTTTGGTAACCGTCAATACTTGTGGGTAATATTGATATTAAAGAGTGTGACAATTGATCACAATAAATTTTATATTTATAAATAAAGATCACTTTATTTTGCTTACATTCTTTATCTCTTTTACAAACCCTCATACTCATCATACATTGAGAAATAATATTATTATAACAATAAAATAGTAACTCTCAGAACGCTCTCCATTTTATTTATTTTTCTTTCTTTTTAAGTTAGTATAGTAGTACAGTTAACAGTGAAAAAATTAACTTTAAAACAGCTAAAGTATTTTGACACAAATTTCTATTTAACCGTATCCTATTTGTGTGCTGGATTTTCATTTCACAAAATTAAGCAAAAATAAAAAACGTCAACTATACATGGATATTAAATGGAATTTTCAAAGTCGCGTGTCCCCTGCCCATCTGTAAATTCGAAGTGAGGTGAGCGGAATAGTTGGCTTAATACATTGTGCAACACTTGCTTCCAACTGTAATAGAAACTCAGGGTTCCACTCAATGAACTTGTCCGGAACTTATGCCCGATATTATTATTGCGGTACTTTTACGTTTGGAAAACATGTATGTAATTTCATAATAATAATAAATGAACGTGCAGTAACAAAAACGACCCACTAACTGTTTTTAATTGTTTCGCACTAGCGTTATTTGCAAAACGATTGTATTTATTACCTTCCGACCGTATAATATGAGTGTAAGCCCAAATAAATAAATTTATTAATATTGAAATCGCATGTGCGTTTCTTAAATATTGATATTAAAACACCATAAATAATAGATCTTCAAAATTATAGATGGCACATCATCATTTCTGTGTTAAATGATTGATGACAAGCAATTGGTAAAAGTATCCATTTAATAAACGCACGTATTATTCGTGTAACTATTTGAAAACTATAAAAAATGAACAAAGATAAAAAATATTAATATTAAATAGGGTAATATCAAAATAATCATTATTATCGAAAAGATTAGCGTAAAATATAATATAACTTTTTTTACAAATAAAAAAGTAGTTCCGTGCTCACCACATACAAGTTATATGATATTTTATCATTATAATAATAATGTATCCGCGTCTGTCAGAGTAAATGGTACGGATAAAAAGTTTAGATTTAAAACTGCTGAATATAATTTAATTTAAAATAACTAATGAAATGCGTAAAAAATAGGCATTGTTTATTTGATTAAAGTGGATGGATATATAATATAAATATCGGTTCACAAAATTTGGGTTGTTCAAGGAATCAATTGCTCCCTTCTTGAACATGCGTTATAAAAAGTGAATACAATAATTTACACAAAAACATATGTAAACGTGTAATACATATAACGTATGTATTAAATGTTTGAAATTAATAAAAATATAACTAGAATACTGTAAGCAAAATCTATTGCTAAATAATATAAATAGTTTTATAAAATCATAAGCATAAGACTTCAACATTTTTATTTCTAACAATTTCATTTAATTTATTATCATAATTTATCATGATGATAATATAATATAGTATGTATTTCACTCATTATTTGTAATTTATGAATCTTATATATTAAAAATTATCCTTTTCTCGGCTAAAATTGGTCATAATCGTCTAAATGTTCCTCAATCGTTCTCTTTTCTGTCCAAACGTGATGATGAGTCCTTTGCAACTTTTCCTATTTATCTTTAAACTGTCCTGTTTTGGAAAATAACCGTTCCATATAATTTGTTTATCTTTATCATATTTGTTTGCTTTTTTAAATTGATAATCTTATAGTTATTGTAACACCAATAATGTGTTAAGTTTATGTATTTAAATCGTACTATTTTTATTGTTTCTCGTATCAAATAATTATTGTATTAAATTAATTGTGTATGAATTATTTCATTTTAAACTCTCTTCATTAGTTAATAAATTATTAATGTCTATTGAAAGCTTTACTTACATAAAACTATACATATTTTAGAATTAACTTTACTAAATTAAATTTTAAGGAAACTATTTTTCATAATTCTGCAAATTACTAAATGCTGAATACAATTTTAAAGTTTCTTTATTTCCGAAAGTCTGTAAAGAGTAACTGAAATGTTATATTTATATTGTTGACACAATATATAAGCAATTTAGATGAGATTACTTTTTATTGTTTGACGATTTCTAAAAAAACCTAAGCTGTATACACAGAAACAATTATTACACTACTTAAGACTAGCGGCTGATTAGAACCGCCAGTAGGATGAGAAGAACCGGCAGGAACTTCGGCTCAAAACACACAGTAACACTTTCCCTTATTGATGATAATGATAACTGTGGTCGTTATGTGTGTCATTCTTGTTGCAAAAAGGCTTTTACGCATCAAATGCGTAAAATTTATTTGTATGATTTTAATTAATTGTTAATTACAAATGCTTTAGTCATAATTTTTAAACATAATTAATCTATTATTTAGATATGTCAAGTACAACGAAATTATATTATCTACTTTTAAATGTTTTATTTTATTTTTTTCTTTGTCAAATATCAACCAAAAATTCATTCATTATTATATTTAATGATAGTAAGTGTACAAAATATAAAAAAAAAAGACATCTCTGTTTAAAGAAAAAAATATCACAAATTAGTTTAAAATACATTTTTTAAATTATTTATTAAACTGAATCAAAAATTCTGAATATTATATAATAAGATGCCGGGGAACTTTTAAATTAAAATTTATTTTAGATTTAATGGGTTTCATAAATTAATGTCTTACAAGACATTATATTTGAAAATTCAATACTAACTACAGCATGATCTATTTTTTTAAATTAGTAGGTTTAATTGTAATACTAGATTGACTGCTATAAACGAATTAGGAATTAATAGTTAGGAGATAATTGAATTAACTAATTTCAAATGTAGCTATAATATTATATTACATATCTAACTATAATAAATAGTGCGGATTAATTATCTATTACAAAATGACACTAATTGATAAAATTTTCAATTAATGTTAAATATTAATGATTTAAATAAAAATGATATAACATTGCGTATTTAATCCATTATATACTATCAAATATATATAATGTTTATTTTAATGTGGAAAAATCATGGCGATCATTGGTCCATAAAAAAAAATAGTTATTTACCGAGTTATTCATTGAATTCTAAATTATTAAAAATATACTTATATTTAGCTAGATAGCAGTGCTTCTATCAATAAAATAATTGAAATAATGCATGCCGCATTATTAGAGTAATATTTTGTAGATAATTGTATACAATATTTTGATGATGCAAAATAATAAATATAAACAAATATCTTTCTTAACTTTTACATATATTTACATATTTACAATATTTTCTATTTCATACACCTCTAATTATACTTGATACTCAAAATTAAATTAAATTAAATTTTTAAAAATTATTACCTTTGTGTATTTTTTTTTAATCGACGAGGAATAATTTTTTACTTGACCTATTGATATAAATGATATTCTGCTATGTTGTTTTTTTTAAACCATGCTCTAAATCTGCACATGACTCAAATATTATCTTTATTCTCATAATTTGTTCACAATACCATATGTTAACTTTTCTATAGTTATTTCTGTGGAAACTTTTTATTAAAACCAATGGAAAATGACGTCTATTGTGGGTGGTTGAGGTCATGACGATACAATGCGGTCCACTGATGGACTGCTGGTATTGCTATGGATCATCATCATCATAGCTGCCACAATAATAACTCCATATGCTAATGCGGCAACTTGTCCGCTAACAAATGAAGCTATCCGCCGCTGTAAATGTTCCAATCAGCATAACGAGATACAGATATGGTAAGTTTAATTAACACTATAGATATATTTTAAATAAATAATTTAATATAGTAATAAATAATATATTTAATCTATCAGGACTAAATTAGTCCGTGAAATATTTTACATACATTTCTTTTCAAGTAATCTTTGTTTTCTTATTCTAATATAAGTTTCTGTAAAAGTAATGTTTGTAATACTGTATGATTCACATAACCATACAATCGTGTTTGAACTATTATATAATATGTATTATCAAGCTATAAAATACTGAAAAATTGATAAGATCAATTACAAAAATATATTTCAAAGTTGTTATCAGATATCAAAACTAAAAACAACTTTCACGAATATACTAACTGACAAATTATGCTAATTATCATCATTATACTTACTTACTTTAAATCGTTCTCATGAAAATTCAATACTATGATCTATAATTAAAATGTAGCTATGCGATATTATACAATAATAATTGCTTGTTTTATTTCTTCGATATTATTTCAATCATTTATTTTCGTATAAAACTGATAGTATTATATCAAGATACATAATTTTATATTTAAAGGTGTAGTCATGGAGATTCGACAACGATTCTGGATGAGTTGAAGCAATTAGCCTTATCAATCACTGATCCAGTCGATGAGTTAATTTTAGAAAATAATGCCATTTCATCAATACCTGAGAGAGCCTTTTCAACTCTAAAAATAATTCGATTAATGTTACGAGAAAATGGATTGCAAAAAATTGCTTCTAATTGGTTGTCGGATCAAGAAACATCTTTGCTGGAATTGTTTATTGTGGAAGCTGAGTTACGAAATTTCCCAGAAGAAAGTCTTATGTTATTACCTCGACTTGAGGCTTTGACTTTAATCACTGGATCATTAACAAGATTGCCACTTATATCGGGTTTAGCCAGGTTGAGATACGTTCAAATTGAAGCATCCTCGTTGTTAAATATCGCCCCGGGTAATTTCTTAGGTTTACCTTTCTTAGAACAATTACACATTACTGGATCATCAAAAATGCAAAAAATGGATATGGGTACCATACAGGACTTACCTAGATTAATTTTACTTAACTTTACCGATTGTGGTTTGACGTGGTTACATCCAAGAGCATTCGCTCGTTTGCCGGCTCTAATAGAGTTATCTCTGGTCGGTAATAAATTATCAGATACGCAAAATATTGGAAGTGCTATCAGAGATTTTCCATCTCTTACTACTATTCGACTTGATCGAAACGATATTGAATTCGTTAATGAAGCTACCTTTGTAGATATACCATCATTGCGTAATATATACTTGTCTAATAACTTAATAGGTGACATAAGACGTGGCGCTTTTCATAGAATGCCCAGTCTGAGACTTATTGATATAAGCAATAATCAGCTGCGTCATATTCATCCAGAGTCGTTCAGTCCAGTTCGTGATAATAATTTGGAGGAACTTTTGTTATCCAAAAATTCTATAGATAATGCTATGACTATTCGACTAATATTAGACATGTTCCCGAGGTTACGGTTTCTAGACGTAAGCCACAATCAACTTCAAGACCTTGTATATGGATCAATTCAGGGACACTCGAGATTAGAAATGTTGTATTTGGAACATAATAAACTCCAAAGAGTTGGCAGAGAAACGTTTTCGGCAATGCCATTGCTAAGAGAATTGAGATTAGCTAATAACTCTTTATCAAATTACTTAGCTACTCCTCTGTGGAATTTACCAATGCTTAAAGGATTAGACATTTCATTCAACAAGTTTGATAAACTTGATCGCCGAATGTTAGCAACTTTACCTTCCTTGAGACGTTTTGATATCAGCCATAATGAGGTCATGTCAATGGATCCAACTACATTTATTGATACGCCTAATTTAGAACACATAAATATATCACACAACCACATTGATTCTATAAATTCATTAACACTAACACATCTGTATCATTTATATGAGTTTGATGCGAGCTATAATAGAATTAATCAAGTATGTAACATTATACTTATAGCTATGATTATACATTACTTTTTATTAATTTTATTACTATCTTTATACAAAAAAAAATCTTAACTTATTAAATATTTTTTTTAATATTAATTGTACCTCAATTAAATCTTATACTTGTTATTACAGTTTGTTGGAGGGCTACCCAGAGCTATTGAATATTTATACTTATCGCATAACAAAATTATGAATTTACCAAGTGATAGCTCAACGGATTTACATTTGCCTGCGTTAAAACTTCTTGATGTTTCCGGTATGAATATAAATTTAAAAATTCCATAAAAAAAATTATAACATGTAAGGTATAATAAAATTAAAAAAAAAATTTGTAGGGAATGGAATCCATAGAGTACCAACAAATTCATTGATCGCTTTAAGTTTACTTCGATGGCTTTATTTAGGTGAAAATTCTATACAAAAATTAGAAAATGGAGCTTTTGGTGGTCTAAATCAACTGGAAACGTTAACATTAAACGACAATAAGCTTTTAAGTATACATGCTAATACTTTTAAAGAATTACCTCTTTTAGTAAGTACTGTGTCATTTTTAACTTGATTACTCTGTGATAATATTATTCTTATTTTGTTTAGACTGAACTATCATTGAAGGGCAACAGATTAGAACTTTTAGAACCATCACTTTTATCTAACAACCCTAAATTAAAAAAACTAAATATAAGTCATAATAGGTTAACGGAGATTTATGAATCGTACTTCTCTTCGAATAAGTATTACTAATATATTATACAATTTTTTAATAGGTTGTTCATTAATTTTTTTGTTAATAATTAGGGAGCTAGAAGAAATATCCATTGCTCATAACTCGTTGTCTGAATTTCCTTCATCATTGACAGTGAACCCACTTCTAAAAACTCTCGATTTAAGAAACAACGAAATTAGACATATGAAGAGTGGAGCAGTTTCTTCCATGCCATTTTTAAAAGAGTTATATCTATCAGAAAACAAATTGAACTCACTAAATGGAGGAGCATTTAAACAACTACCAAATTTGACTATTTTAGAAATGGAAGGAAACAATTTGGAAACTTTATCATCGTATGGCATTCAAGCTATGCCTAGTTTAATAATTTTAAAAATGGCTAGAAACAAATTAACGTCTTTACCTAGTGCCTCAATGGTAAATCTGCCAATGTTACAAGTAATAGAGTTACAAGAAAATCAACTGAGTGAAATTGCTAGTGATGCTTTTGTGGGTATGCCTAATTTAATAATGCTGAACTTGAGTCACAACTCATTGAATGGCATGGAAAAATCAGGCTTGAATACTCTAAGAAGCCTCGAAGTTCTTGATTTAAGCCATAATAAATTAAAACAAATAGCAGCAAGAAGTATTCAAAATATGCATTCCTTAATTATGTTAAAGGTGCGAATAATTTTCTTAGTAAAAAATTCTTAATACATTTGATTATATTAATATAATTATATATATGTATATATATATATAGCTCGACAACAACAGACTTTGCAATATAATAGGAAATCCATTTGATGGAATGAATCGATTAAGGGTGTTAAGTCTACGAGATAATAAAATGACATCTTTTTCAGAAACCTCTTTCAACAGTTTAAGACCTACTATTTCTCGTTTAGAGGTTGATGGTAAGTTTTAAACAATTTAATCTTATTATACTCTGATCTATATTAATTATGAATATAAATAACAACAATAAAAAAAAAAATTAAATAGGAAATCCAGTACATTGTTCATGTAACATGAAATGGCTACAGTCTTGGCTTAGGGCAACAACTGAAATGTCCGGTCCAAGATGTACAGATGGTACCCTTCTTAGAGAAATGACATTCACATCAAAACAATGTGATGAAAGAGAATTAAATATTCCTATGGAACATATTCCTGGTTGTGAAATTGAATCAATTCTGGTACCAAATAGTAAGTATACACAACACATTTACAAAAAAAAACTTGAATTATTTCTAATTATTCTACAAAGTTTTATTCCTATAATTATTTTTATTTATCTCAATATTGTATGTGGCGATAAAAATGTTTTATATATAATATTGTGATTTTTGAAAAAGGGTGTTTTATTTATTTAATTTTTGATGATTATACCTTGTGAAATATTTTTTTGTTTGGTTTAGCTAATACAAGTACTTCAAATAATGTCCAATCTTGGGTGGAGAATAATATGGAAGTAACAGAAAATAAACCTTTGCCAGAGGAAACCGACTATTTCTACGATGAGGCTGTAGATTTGGAGGAAAAGCCGGAAGTACAGAGAGGTTTTTCAACTGAAAAATCCGTAACGACTATATCTCCAGCTATTTTATCACACTTTGTCGCTGGCGACACACCTACTTTATATGCAGGTACACGGAGCAATGATTCGAATTCGTATATAGAAGAACAACCACAATCAAGTAACTCTGGTGGTAATGCATTTACATTTTTTGGAGTGCCCATACCACCATTGAATTTAAATAACATTTGGGGTACAATGAACAAAGGTAATATCAAAAAACTTAAAGATGGCCGACGAAACTCATCTTCTAAAAAGCCGCTATTTTCGATGATAGTTGATGAAGGTACTAGTAGTGGTAACTTTACGCCAATGTTGCCAGGCATAGGAGGTTTTAGGCCCATGACTCCATCTACGACAGCTGATAGTCAGGATTCCTTTGGACATGATAATTCAAATGTTCATAGCGTGACAGACTACACAAATTTGACCAAAATCGTTAAAATCACGTCTAAGTATTATCACAATAGCAGTACAACTGAATCTCCAATGCGTCAAGTAACAGTTTCCAATAATCCATCTAACTCCAGTATTCTAAAAATCTACAATGGCACTACAAGAGATTCTTTATTTGAATCGGTTGCTATTAACACAATCTTCAGACCAACGACCAATTCGAACTTGGTCAATAGTCCGTTGCAAACTAGTACAACTTCAAGTGTTTCACAAAGTACAGTTTCTTCTACTTATTCAGAGAATGCTTTTAAACATACCACAGGTAACTTGTAGCAACAATCTTTCTCTATGTTTATTTACAGCTTCTTTACTATCGTATATAGTCCATCTAAATTGTTTTAAAAATTTTATTTATATTTATAATATTTTTAGTAGATAAAAAATACAATTCATACAGGAAATTTCAAAGAATTTGTATGAATGTATTAAGACTTTCATGGATTGTTTCATTATTTAAAATATTTATAAATGAGTAAACTTGCAATCATGCAATTTAAGCTTTAATGTCTATAACAACAGTAATTACATTCAAACATAGTTTTTTACTATTTCACTATAACTTTGGCATCATATAAATATCTAACTATATTGTAAGATGCTTTATGAGAAAAATGTTTAAAATTGATATTATACATTTTTTACTTAGTTTTGTCAACAACTTATCAACAGCAACAAGATCAGCAACAGATAAATTCTTCAACTATAGCAGCTTATATTACACCGACATCAAACATTTTCTTTACTAGTTCTACGCCAACCTCGTTGACTGGATTTCTAGCTCCAGGTGGTCAGCTACCAGATAAATTAAGTGGTATGGTAGTTACGGGTAAACCATCTATTGTCAAGGTTACATTAAGCCCAACAACTCAAAATCATCACCAACAACACTATCAAACTCAACAGCAACAACAGTCTCTAATCACAAAACAACCAGATTTAACTTCACAAAATCAAAACTTGCACCGATTTCCTAAGAGCCCAAATAATCAAGAAGCTTATCAATCATTGCCAACCAGATCATCGGATGTATTTCGATCAACTCCATTTCGGACAAGTTTAGCCAATGATTGGTATTACGCTAACTACAACAAATCTAATGTAGAACCGTATGTCAGTAGAAATATGGATTCAGGTGGAAGCTATGCCAATGGAACAGTTGTAATTTTAATGACTGTTATTGTACACCTTGTTTCTTTTATTTTATGATAAAACAACTTATATAACTCAGAATTTATTGTTATTATATATTATTTAAAATTACTAAACAAATATAGTTGATAAATTAATTATAACACAATTAATTAATAAATATAGGATTATTACTTTTTTTGTTGTTTATTTAAATTAATTAACTTAAATGAAAACTAGAATTTTATTATTTTATAACTTTTGAAAAAATGGCGCTTTTCATTTGAATTTAAATTTAAATTTTTAATAATTGTTAAGTCATACAATAATATAAAATCTAATTGATTAGTTAGTTAAAACCATGTAAAATAATTTTTTTTATCGTGCATATATATAAATATATTTTTTATTGCTTATTTTCTTTAATATAAAAATATATAACGTTATTAATGAATGTTCTATAAAAATTTTTCATAAAATTTTGTTATGACATTTACTTTGTAATTATAAATTATTTAGTATTTGTTATTTTTGTTGGGCTATACAAAAACAATTGCAATTGTTTTGAAAAGGTATAAAATTTTGTCGGTGCTCTGGATAATTATCTGTATACATATAATATGGTTGATTTTGATAATATCCTTCAGCAATATCGTAGTAGTATTCCATGGGGTAGCAATTGTTTACATCTAAATTCTCTAGTGGATATGGACAGTTATTTGAATGATGATAGCACAGATTGTGACATGCGGTATTATGATCAATATCATAGCCATAGCTTTTTATAATATCTTCTCCTGCTGGGATATTTTCATAAAATATATTTTCATTATTACATGAACCAAGGGAACAAAGTCTCTGGTATTTTTCTCCGGTCAATGATTCTTTTCTTTTGATCATTTCAGTATGAAGTTGATAAAACATGTCATAAAATTTTCTACTATCTATCACATCTATAAAGATTATTCAAGTATAAGTATTTCTGAATAGAATTTAGAAAAATGAAAAAATAAAAAATATTGCGATTCCATTATTTAACTTGTTTTGAAAAAAAAAAAGGTTTTTAATTTTTATAATTATTGTAGAATTTTATAATGGGCGCGTGTCGTGGCACGATGGCCGTTGTCTTAGAGCTAATGTTCAATTGCACACTTGCTCTTAGTTTCCGTATAGGTGATTTAATACATGAACTGTAGTAATGAAACACGCCTTTGCCTCTTATCGGCTCTCTCAGCCAAGTGAGATTGCGTTAGGTCGACGCATAAAAATTACGACGGTATAAAAATTTTGTTAAATCATTGTAAGGTAAAGCCCACTCCACTTAACTAGCATAACGACTAAGGAGATTATGATGATTTTAGAATTTTATAATAAATATAAATTTTTAAATGTTTTAATATTTTTAAGTTTTTAAGTTGATGCAAATTTTCAATACAAAGAGGATTATATTTAATAATACCATTTTTTTGATTTGGAGAAACAGTTGTATTTTCTTTCTTTTTCTGTAAACAGTTTTTTATGTTTGAAAGATATTCATTGATCTGTTCTTTATACTTAATCATATCATGGTCTTTATAATCAGTTGATTTTATTTCTTCATGGAATACATTATTAAGACTTTTAGATTGAATTTTATCATTAATTGTTACATGTGTATTTTTTAAATTTTTATTTCCACTTTGATTTGTTTTATCTAATAGTATTAATATTCATTATTTGCTAACAATTTTCAATACTTTCAGAATATAAAATTACGTATATAAAATTTAATATTTATTTACCAATAGGGTTTTCAGGCAAAAAATAAGATATATTTTTCTCTATGTGATTTTTGTTAACTTCTTTATTTTTATCAACCTCATTTATGTTGTTTATTGACAATTTTTCTTTGACTTCAATGTTTTTACTTGAATTAGAGATGCTTGTTCCGTAATCATGATCTGAACAGTATTTAACATGATATAACTCAATTTTTGATTAATTATTTATAAAAAGTAATAGTAATAGTTGTGTCAGTTTGGTTAATATCACTTCATTACAGTTTAATAATAATCATGTAATATATAAGAAAATATTAATTAAGCCTACAATTAAAGAAATTGTTAAAATAAAATATTAAATTTTTAATACTAAATCTTCTTCTTCCTCGCCTTAATCCCAACTACTAGGGTCAGCCACCCTTATCCTAAAACTTCCACTTGACATGATCTACGCTCATAACAGCTGACCTCATATAGCATTCAATAGCATTCTTCCATCTCTTTTAGCTTCGATGCGAAGCTGAGAAGGTATTAATTTTACCATGATGTGTTTATTTTTTTATTTTTTTTTATTTTTTTTATTTTTTTTTGTGTCTGTCACTACTTTTTCTCAGCTCTCACTGGACCGATTTCTTTTAACAATACGTCAAAAGATCACAAATTGTATCTAGTTGAAGACATTACCCTTAAAAATTTAAAAATTTTCCCTCGTTCCCCGCAAATGGGGGAAATATCCAAAAAAATTACAAATTTAAAAATCGACAAATTTTGTCATTTTTTTCACTTTTTTTTCTTAAAACTTCCATAACTTTTTCAAAAATCAACAAATCAACATAATTTTTTTTTAAACTAAAACCTTAGATATTTTCCTTTCATTTGATATAATTTTTTTGAAAATTTAACACTTAACCTGCTCATGGGGGGGGATTTAAAATTGCAACTTTTTTACAAAAACTAACTTTTTCAACTTAATTTTTGAAAATGTTCCGGAAATACTGCGTCCTTTAAACATATATCAAATTAAAGCTTATTTTATGTACTATAAAATGAAAAAAAAAAATTTGTCCCGACACTTTATCTTCTGCATGTAAACGGTTGCCGTAGTTAAAAAAACACTATTTTTGTGTTAAAATTTTCGATTTTCAATTTTTAATTTTCAACTTAAAAATGCTATAACTTTTCGAAAAATGCATGTATCAGCACAATTTTTTTTTTTCTAAATACATTATAAGTACATCTTCCATTTGACATACTTTTTATTAAAATTAGACAATTTCCCCTTATATAGGGGGGGTTCAAACTTTGAAACATTGTATAAAAAATAGAACTTTTTCAACTGAACTTTTGAAAATGTTCCGGAAATACTGCGTCCTTTAAACATATATCAAATTAAAGCTTTTTTTATGTACTATAAAATGAAAAAAAAAAATTTGTCCCGACACCTTATCTTCTATGTGCAAATGGCTGTCGAAATTATAAAAAAAATGTAATATTTGCGATAAAAATCACCTTTTATAACGATGTTTTTTGTACTTAAAACTGCCATAACTTTTTCAAATATTAACTAATCAAAATAATATTTCTTTATATTGAAACCTTAGGTAATTTTCTTTCATTTGATATCATTTTTTTTTGAAAATCTAACACTTATTCTGCTCACAGGGGGGATTTAAAATAGCAACTTTTTTACAAAAACTAACTTTTTCAACTTAATTTTTGAAAATGTTCCGGAAATACTGCGTCCTTTAAACATATATCAAATTAAAGCTTATTTTATGTACTACTAAATGAAAAAAAAAAATTTGTCCCGACGACCTATCTTCTATGCGCAAAAGGCTACCGTATTTAAAAATATGCTATTTTTTATTAAAATTCTAGGTTTTGTATTTTATTTTATTTTAAAATATTTTATTAGGGGAATAAACTGACTTTCATGAATATTATATAATTTCATTGACATAGAATAAAGTTCATAAGACATATGATATTATACTTATTAACATTTTTTACTTTTTTAAAGTCGAAAAAGTAATTTTTAAATTTGAGTTAGCTTAAATAGCCAATTTTATCATGCAACAAAAATCAACGAATAGTTGCCGAATGGGTAACACCTTGATCTTTAACGCCTAGGGTACGAGGTTCAAATCCGTTTGTGGCTTCTAAAATTTTGCATTTTTTTTTTGAGTTAGAATAGAATTTTCAAATCATTTGATATTTATCTCATTTAGATTCAATAATTTCAATAAATATAAAGGATCTTATCACTATAGTCTCCCCTCGTGAGAAGAAATTGATATTCATGTTAATATTATTTTACTATGTGGTTCTTTTTCTGGCTACGATTTATTTTGCCAACCCTCACTAGACCTACTTTTTTCAACGATACGTCAAATGATTCATTTAAGTTTATGATATTTAAGTTAATGATTAGTTTAAGTTATTACTCTTAAAAATCAAAAAAATATTCCTTATTCAAATAAAAAGTAGCTTAACTAGATTTGTCCATACAAACAATTAAAATCATTAATTTTTAATATTCTTAAATTATTTATTGTCGAATTAAATTTGATATGATAAAAGTATTCAACTACAAAAGTAAATAATTTTACTTTATAATTTATTAATTTTTTAACTCTATTTCTGTGTGCTACTACCAGTCTATAATATGCCAAATTTTTTAGTAATATGTTGCTATATAAATCATAAATTTAAAAAAAAAATGATTTTTAGTTTCACCTGAAGTTAACGATGGAGTTTTACAATTATAATTATATTTTTGATAATATGCTCAATTGAGTAAATCTTTTTAACTACTTTGGTTTGATTGGTTCATTTAATTAAAGTAAATTATTAAAATTAATTAAGTTCTGAATATTTCAATTGCAGAATTTTTTTAAACACCAAAAGTTATTAGGATATGATTACTATTCTTTCTATTTCAGTTATCTATTACGATAAAAATGTAAAAAAATCGAATTTTTCTGACAAATGTACTGTAATTAGTAATTATAAAATTTCCAGATTGCATATTAATCTTAAAAATTTCATTTTTTTCAATTTAATAATGTCAATTTCAAACTTGCAAGTTGAACTATAAGTTATGGTAACAAATTCATTTTTTAGCTTCGATGCGAAGCTGAGAAGGTATTTTTCATTAAAACTTTCACTTTAAAAGACAATAAAAAATAGGTTCAAAATGATTACCTTTAACATATTAAAAATCAAAATCAGTATTAATTTAATACAATTTTTTTTGTTCTTAATTATTTTTTTTTATATGTAAATACTTATTTTTTAATAATAAGTAATAATATTAAAACTTAGAAGTAATAGAAAAAGTTTAATTGCACATTTGAAAACATCACGAAAAGTTTATTTAGAAAAGTATATTTTTTTTCTGATGAAAGTTCCTTTTGTTTAGTGTATTTATTCAT